GATGCAGACAAGGTACCATTTTCTTCCACTGTGCTGAAGCCTCACATTCTTGTGGGGCAGCACATGGTAGAGGTCTTCCATTTGATCAGATCTGAGAGATCTTTCTTAGTAAAACATTAATGCAATTTTACCAAGACAAGAGCATTTGTGCTACTTTCTTTTAAGCCTATTTACAATCATAGCTGATTTACCCCACCTTTGGTCTTATTTGTAGCGATATAATATTGAATAACTCAAGCCCCCTTTCCTTTGTGGGTGAGACTACAGTGGTACCTCGCAAGACGAATGCCTCGCAAGACAAAAAACTTGCTAGACGAAAGGGTTTTTTGAGCTGCTTCGCAAGACGATTTTCCCTATGGGCTTGCTTCGCAAGACGGAAACGTCTTGCAAGTTTGTTTCCTTTTTCTTAACACCGTTAATACAGTTGCGACTTGACTTCGAGGAGCAACTCATAGAACGCGGTGTGGTAGCCTTTTTTGAGGTTTTTAAAGACTTTGGTGATTTTTGAAGCTTTTCCAAAACTTTCCCGACACCGTGCTTCGCAAGACGAAAAAAATCGCAAGGCGACAAAACTCGCGGAACGAATTAATTTTGTCTTGCGAGGCACCACTGTAGTTAAAAATGAGCTTGAAACAACATTTTCTTTAAGTTGTGGATGTGGGGCAGGGAAGGGGCATTTATCCTGTTTTCTGGCACTGTGCACATGGAATTTAATACATGTATGTATGTATGTATGTATGTATGTAGTTGCCTTATATAGAATCAGACTGTAGCTCTGCCTAGTCCAGCCTTGTAGTCTAATAGTTGGCAGCTTTTCAGAACCACAGACAGGGGTCTTTCCCAGTGCTACTGCTCCCTGAAATCAGTCTTAAATGGTGATGCTGAGGACTGAACATGGCACCTTCAGCATAGCATGTACTCTAATACTGAGCTACTGGTTCTTTTCTGAATCTGTCTCTTACGTACTGAACTAAAATGCTTGCCAAAAGCAAATTTTCCACTGGAGCAAATTGGGCCTTCCTTGATGTATGTCTCAAACAATAATTTTATCTTTGTATACACACCACTACAATAGCAAGCGCCCTTGTCTTGACTAGAAGTACCTAAGCCAGCTGAATGGCAAAACCAAAGGTCAGCATCTTGCATTCAAAAAAACTTATGCAATCCTTTCCATCTCCAGTCTGACCTTCAGGCTATAATAACAAAATTTCAAAATTACCTTTAAACTGCTTTGCACTTCTTTCATGTAACTTGTTTTCTGGCAGGCAGTTGCAGCCCTAAAACCCCTGTACTTGGAATATCCTCGGCTGTACAACACTAGCATCGTTTGCTCTTTTATGCCGGATGTTGTCTATAAGGTACAATTTTTCACCTAAGTGTTCTGTTGTTGCCATGGTAAGATTTTAATTTGGGTAATTTCACGTAGTACATAATCTTACGGAAGTGGGGAGGTTATGTTAAAGATTGACAAAGTGGCCTTCACTTTAAAATCTTGAATAATTCTGTCCACTGTGAAGCGTCATATGGACTCCCCTCATTTTGCAAGCACAGCGGGGGGGGTGTTGTATGGGTCATGGATAAAGGAGGTCAGGGCTTACTGAAGAGAGTTTACGCAGGACCCCCCAAAACCTAAAATCAGTCCTAAGCTTGCTTCATGGGGGGGGTGTACAGGTACCCAATACAACCAACCCTAATCATTAGTTTAATTGCTATAAACCAAATAGTTTTAAAACTATTCCAGCACGCAGGTCTTCAAGGAAGATACATAATTTGGGAAGCAAATAAAATCGGTAAGGTGTACTTCTAAGAGTATTTAGGTTTGTGGCACAAAATGTCTGGACTTCTTTAGCAAACATGATGCAAGGGTTGAGTTCCAGCCTTTGACTCTTCCTCTACAAATGCCAGACTACCAGATATAGCAAGATTACGTACCATCAAAGTCAAGCTTGAAATGATGAAAGTCAAGTCTCCCTTGCAATATCAATCTTTGTACATCAAAATGTATTCATTTGTTTCTCTGCTTGGCCTTGTAGATGAAGCAAGCTGATAGGAATGTTTTAACAGCTCTAACCCACCGACCATGGAGCTTTAGTTACTTTGGAGATGGGAAGCCTCGCTACACTTCCTGTTGGAAACATTACTTCATGATGATGCTGGATGTCATTTTGGACTGGAGCATGCACAACTTCCTGTGGCACTTCTGTGGGGTTTCCGCTTTTCTGGTGCAGAAAAATTTCGTTTCACAGTAAGCAGAAAACCTTGACTATACTCTGGGATAGCCAGTGGGAGGTGCCCTTCAGCTGCTTGTTGGACTACAACTCCCATCAGTCCTGATCACTGCCTTTGGAACCCAACAACATCTGTAGGGCACTGTGTTGGCTACCCTTTGTCTAACCCACCCACAGCTAAGATATTCCTCAAAGGATCGGGAGGGGGGAGATGAGGGGGAGGATAGGCATACACCGAATCATGCGAGACATAAAAGAACAGAGTGCAGGTGTCAACATAGTGGGTGCCTGATGAGCTTTTATTTAAACCACCCTAACTGTACGGGTGGGACGCGGGTGGCACTGTGGGTTAAACCACAGAGCCTAGGACTTGCCGATCAGAAGGTCGGTGGTTCAAATCCCTGCAACAGGGTGAGCTCCCGTTGCTCGGTCCCTGCTCCTGCCAACCTAGCAGTTTGAAAGCACATCAAAGTGCAAGTAGATAAATAGGTACTGCTCTGGCGGGAAGGTAAACAGAGTTTCCGTGAGCTGCTCTGGTTTGCCAGAAGTGCCTTAGTCATGCTGGCCACATGACCCGGAAGCTGTACGCTGGCTGCCTCGGCCAATAAAGCGAGATGAACGCCGCAACCCCAGTGTCGGCCACGACTGGACCTAATGGTCAGGGGTCCTTTACCTTTATGGGTAATTCTCATCTGTAGTACTTGTAAACAACCTTTCAGGGTAAATACCCTCTTATGGTAGCTTGAAAAGGCAGCTTTGTGCAAGGGCAAGATAATTTAGCTCTATACACATAGCCGAGGCTTTCAGGTGGGAGGATACCTGGGTGCTGCTTCCTCAGCGACAGCACTGGGGACATGGAGGGAGGCAGGGCTTTCAGCTGGAAATGTACCTAGGCATGCTGCTGTTTCTCCTCTTATGGCCTCAATAATTATCCCTAAGAGATGGTTTCCAATCGAATACCACACCTTATCTTAAACAAAATAGGGGGGAAAGATTAAAGATTGTGGATTAAGTACCAAAAGGATGGCCTGCTGTTACTATAGGGAACATGAAATAATAAAGGTTGGTTTTAATTGCAGTCACTTGCAGTCTTCCCTCACATCATTTCTGACATTATCCTTTTTAGGGAATATGTGAGACAGTGGTCTTCCAAAGGAATTCAAGTTGTGGCTTGGACAGTCAACACATTTGCTGAAAAAATGTACTATGAAAATGTTCTCCAGGCCAGCTACATCACTGACAGCTTAGTGGAGGACTGTGACCCTCACTTCTAGTCTTTAGCCTTTGCTGGATTCTTTTGGGTTTCTTCTTTAAAGCAAACTGAAGTTTGTCAGCAGTGGAACTTCAAGGATTCATACTGATTTTCTTGGGACTGAATGATCACAATGCAAAGTGAATCCAAATGTTTCTTTTCATCATGCTGGATGGTGTCTTAACATTACAATCAATTTTAATCCTAGCAAGAAGAACTGAGAGTCTATAAGAGAGGGCTGTGCAGCCCTTTTAAAGAATCAGGTTGGTTTAATGCAGGTGTGGACTTGTAGAGGATTGACACTTTTTTCCTAAATTAAGCTGCTTTTTTTGAAATAAATCGATGCTAGGCCTTTACCAATCACTGACAAGACTTGAAACACATTCATTAGCCTGTACTTAGAATGAAATAGTAGGGAGACAACTGCATATACCTCCTCGTTGTCTAGTCAAAAGACAAACCAGTTCTCTAAGTCGTGGACCAGAGAGCAAGAGAAAAATCAAAGCATTTGGGGGGCTGGAAGAAATTAGGGCAGGTGCTGCAGGTTGCGGTACTGCCTTATGGGTAAGTGGGTGGTTGGGTGCAACAGAATCTTCCCTGGGGGATATGAATAAGAGGCATTAGCTGAAAAGCAAGACTTGGAAACAACATGGAGCAACACCACAGCCAGGACTAGACTATATATGGGTAAGTAGGAAGAGATTTTGGGGGCTCAGATTAGGTGCCAATTTGAATTCACATTTGACACTGCTTTTGAAGCAACAAGTTAATTCTTACAAATTCGGGTCTGCTCCTCTGACCAAGATTCTTTGCAGGTTGTCCTTGCCCTTTTCTGAAAATGCATGAAGTACAACCTATTCCAAAGTAATAGCATTCAGAAGATCACTAAATAACGCACACAAAGGAAATGCCTTTACTATGGAAGTTGCTTATGTTAGGGAAACTAGAAACTACCTGACAAAGTAGAAGCAAAGAAAATACAACCACTTGGGGAGAATTGGATGCTGAAATTTAGTAGGGATACAGAAGAACTAGGAGGACACTAGGAAGGGGAAAGGTTGTGCCTTAAACTCTGCAAACCAGCTTTTCACAGAAGAAGCTAAGCACCACAAACAGCTGAGCAGCAAGAACTCGCCCGACTCCTGTTGTAGATGCAATCCTGATTCCAGCAGCCAGGCACTCCTCAAAAGTGCTCTTGATTGCAATTCATATGAGTAGTTTGGCTGGAAGGAATTAGCTGGGCCAGATGGCAACTGAAGCAGCCAACCATTGATGTAGGAGAAATAAGAGGGTCCTTGTCAAACAATTTAAAAATGTGCAGCTGCAAAGTCACAGCTAAAACAGGTTTCTGTTTTCCAAACTTACATTACAACTTTGGGGGGCGGGTTGGTTATGTAGCCAACTAGCCATTGTTCTCTAGAAAAGGTTGGGACTGCACAGAGATGAAGTAAGATACATGTAACCAGATTTAACATTTCACAGTGGTGACACAATGCATGTTAATTAAAAAAACAAACAGCTCTCATTATCATTCTTTATAAATGCCTCTAATCTCTGTAAAAAAATATTCTGATCAACACAGCAAAAATAAAGCATTTCAGAAAGATTACAACAAATATTTACAGACCTGTACTTGGCAGTTATTAATCAGAATAATTTACACTAATCCAGTAAGAAAGTTCCACAAAAAAGGTATTTGATCTCACATCTTTCCATATGTAGTCAATCCTGTCCTGGATTCCGTTGATGAGCTGCATCCTGTTTTAATTGTTTCACAATATTTTCAAAATTATAATAAAGCAAAATTACAACCAGTGAAAAAATACATTTTTTGATGCAAAAAGCCTTGGTTTTCAACACCATCCTTCATTTGTCAATTTTCAAAAGTGCAGACAGATCCTTCTAAGGCCTCAGTAGTGCAAATAGCAAAATTCTCAAGAGTGCTTCTCTGTCCATTTTGCACTCCTCCACTTTCAGGAACTTTCATCATCTCCCATTTCCCATTCAGCCTCTTGCCTGGCTCTCAAAGCCAGAGCCAGAGCTTCAGAAGCTGTAGCATTCTTGGCTGGATGGCTACTCTCATGAACTGCAAGCAAGAGAAGATGGCAAAGCATCAGCATTGTCGTATTTGAAAGAAGTTACCCACATTCCTAATCAAACCATGGCACACGTGGAATGGAGATTATCTATTCACAACCCTTTTTGTCAATGCCTCTCTTGGTCATTCACATGTTTTTAACAAGCATCCTTAAACTGAACATTGGTATTTTGAAGAAAAATCAGCTGTGTGTCCCAGATATGGAATGCACTCCCAGTCTGGATTGGAACCCTATTTCCTCCAGAAGATGAGGCATACTGCAATAATTACCTTCAGGGGTAAACGGGTGGGTGGGAGAGAGATCGTCGGCAGGAAATTTGTGGGACCCCAATCCAGATTGGGACTGTGCTCTGGATGAGAGCCCATAGATCATTTATCTTCAAAGCAGAAGTTGCTTTTTAAAAGTAGAATGATGATTTAGCTAGGTTCAACCAGTAGTCCACGTATGCTGATACAATTTTTCAAACAATGAACTGGTTTGGTTGTTCGCTCCAAGCCTCTGGCTTGTATTTTCCCTTTATCTCCTCCACTTCCAATTCCTGATTCCAATGAGCCATAGTTCGCCCCCCATCCAATATAACCAAACCAGTTTCTGCTTCCTCTCCAAAATGGAATTGAAAAATCACTGTTTGAAGTGGCTTTCCAATCCTGATAGGATTTGCCAATTCAGATGTTGACACCAAACTATAGTCTATACCATTCCTGACCAGGTAATTATAGCCCTATTCAGGTATTAATTTCTGAACACATGAAAAGGACTGTGGAGAGATGTGGGGCTAGCCCCCTCCCCTCAACAGCACATGAAGTGGCCACATCCCCCCACATTACACATGGGCAGGTCAATCTGAAGGGAGCTGCCTAACACACATAAGAGTCGCTTCAGTGATGAGGACCCTAAGTTTCCATGTTGGAAGCATCATACATAGAGCATAAGCCTCTTGACTAAGCCAATAACATGTCAGCTAATGCACTGTGTAGTTCTGTGTAGGGGGAGAGCCAGCCCTGCGCCCTCCTACTAATAGCTGAATGCCTGAAAAGGGCTTTAGATCTTCAGAGAGCTGGGTTTCTATTTTTTGCCACCTGCTCTGCCTATTTGTGCCAGGCTTATGCTTACCACGAGAGAAGCTGGTCATTTGAGGTCTTGCAAGCTAAAGGGAAGAAAAACATAGCAATGTAATAATAGACAGATCCCCATTTCCTTATGTCTAAAATGAGGCCAGGGAATTTCGGAGCTTTAATTGCCACATTCTTTATCCCCCAGCTGATTGCACCTTGGAAGCACTCTCTTCCATTCTGCTTCTCCAGCCAGGATCTATGATAACATCTGTTTTTTGTGAGTTCCAAACCAACTATCAGAACACACCCTGGAGATTTTCCATGTATTTCCACACCATCTACCACCACCACCAAGGGATTCCAAATCAGAACATTCGCTTTGGTCTGCTCTTGCTGGAACAATTGATTCTGCCACTGATAATTAAAAGCACTTGGCCCAATGCACTTCAGTGCTGTTCATACTGCTGGATAGCAGTTACTGGAAACTGCAGTGCAGGGAGATTGCTATTGTGCTCAAATCCCACTTGAGGGCTTCCTATAGGCATCTGATTGGCCACTGTGAGAACAGGATGCTAGACTAGATGGGGAGCTTCTCTGGGGAGCTACTATTGCACAATTTCTAATCTTCATTTGTCCTTGCGTTCCAGCACTGAGAAGTTAGGGACATGATTCAAGCACTGCTGGGAACATGGGCTGCTGAGGAAGGACTAGGCAGCTTCGATTTCCACCTGTTTTTTGCCACCTACACAGGCAGTGTAATGACACCAAATTGTGAGGCTGCAAGCAATAATTGGAGTAGGAAGGCAGCTCAAAGGTCATCCAACCAAGCCCCCTGTTTGAAGTGGGAAATTCACCACCACAGCACCCCTGATATGTGGCCCTCCAGCCTACCTTTAAATGTTTCTAACCAAAGGAGAGGTCATCACCATTCTAGGCAGCCTGCTGCGCTGTCAAAACAGCTTCAACTCTGCCAGGAAGCTCCATCTAATGTTTAGTCTGAATCCTTTTTGTAGAACTCAGAAAGGGCAAGAGGATGGGGGTGGAACTAGAATCAGTTGGCTCTGCCCATCATTAGCTCTGGCAGCACCTACTGTTGGCTTCCCTGCCTTCTGCCCTATCAGTGCCAACAGTCACCAGGGATGGGCTGACTGCAGCTCTCCAGGCAGGAGCTTTCCCCAGCCCTACCTAGATACAATGGGAATAAACCTGGGACCTTCTGCATGCCAAGCGGATTGCTCGACGACCGAGCTTGGGCCTGCAAACTCCAATGGCCAAAACTGGACAAACAATACTCTAGGTGAGCTCTGAAGCATAGAAGAGTGGTAAAAGAATTTCAATTCAATGCAAGCGCCCAGAGGTCCTCTCTCAGTTGCTGTTGCCATTACCTCAAAGTAAGAGTCTCGTTCCTCTGTTGCTGGAGAGCTTTCAGTGGAGTTAGGCAATGGTGCAGGTACCTGCTGTCTAGTTGACTGGCGCACAGATGAACTCCTCTGTGTGTGCAGGGGAGAAGTATCAAAATTAGGTACACTGTGTATACTTAACTACACTTCAGGGTGGATGGAATGGATTGCAACTACAAAAGTCTTAACTCAAGGCAAGTCTTGTATTCAAGATTTATACCTAGGGAATTAAGCCTGCACGCAACGCAGGCACCTCCAGTGGCCTGGGATTTTTGTACAATCGCTGCTGCCATCTAGTGCAATACTAATAAACAACTTGCCATGTTGAATTATGCATTCCCCCAGATTATTAGACAATTGTTTTAACGGCCCACAATGAATAAGGCAATATTTTACAAGCCCACATTTTCACAACTAACCTGTGGCTGCTCTCCCCGATTCTGAAGTTTAGATGCCTGGAGCGCACGTAATTTCTTCAACAGGAACATTTTATCTTTACCTTCCTATACACACACAAAAAGTGAGTACAGTATTAGAAGATGCAATGGGGAGATGCATGCATTTGATACTTCTTCATACAGCAATTTTCCCCTTACCACAAAAAATGGACCCTTTCGGGTGTGGAGGTAGCAATCCATATTGTACAGTAAACACACTTTCAAAAAAATGTGTATACTGTCCACATTAATTTTGAAGAAAAATGAGCTGTGGGGTCTCTCTCCAGAAGATTGCTATTACAGCTAACAGCGCCATTGGAAGGAGGGAGGATAGCAGGAGTTTGGGCAGGAAATCTGAGAACAGCTATGATCTGTATTGCAGGGCTCTGATCCAGAATATCCCCCCAAAATAAATGCCCTCCCCTCAATCCCAAAATAAATGTAGTCAGTACAAGCATACTTTTAAAAAATGAGTGTTTAATGCAATGTCTCCTTTAGCCCTCTATGTTGTATTCAGGTGCACTGAATCAACTGTGCACTGCCCCCTTAAGCAAATCCCAGCCTCCCTCCTCTTTTCCCTTGGCTTGGGGGAAGCCCCCAAACTCCACCTCTTCGACTGGCTCTAAGCAGCAGTCAAATTGGTTACATGGGTAACCAATCAGAAATGTCAACACTTTTGTGCATTTTGAATCCAGAGGGAAGAGTGGTGGTCATGGTGTCTGCTGCTGGTATTTTTTTTGGGGGGGGGGTGGAGGGAGGGAAGCAAGAGCTACTTATTGAAACCCTTTAGTATGCAGAGTGAGCAGTGTTTAGCTAGTAAATCTTGGTTAGAGAGTAGACTTCACCAATTGCAATCACACCAGAGGGAGATGCATGGAGGTAAGAAAGTAATAAAGTTGTTTACTGTAGGAAATACAAAACTTGGAGAGAAAAGTTTCTAGTTCCACCCTAACTAATCTGGAGATGAACAAATAGTTAAAGATGACCTCTCATATTGAGGTCCAAGGGAGAAGGAGGAGGAAGTTTTAAACAGGATGTAAGGAAAGTTGAATCAGTCTAAACAACAGGGAGACAGAGAAGGAAGCTGATAGATTAAAGTTACAGGGATAGTCTGGGGATGTGAATGTCCCTCACTGCATCTACCTTTACCCCATGCAAACCCCTATTCCAGAAGCTGAGTCGCACCCAAACATCCAACAATATAAAATTCTGTGCCAGAGAATGATTAGCCAAAATAACAGGAAGCCTCCCCAGCAACATACTCACATTGATGATCTGCTCTTGCAGAAGTTTAACCATTATTTTACGCCCATCTATTATTTGCCAGTAGAGGTAGGTGATGATTCTAAAACAAAAGTTTAAGAAATTAAAATTAGCACTTCCGTTTGCAAATAAAAGAAGATCTATCTTTTCTTATTACATCGCTAAAATAAAGAAACGCACAGCTGACAGGAACTTACAAAACAATGATGGAGAGGATGAAGAAGAAATGCACGCTTTCAATTAAGTTGTGATAAATCCACACAACCCATCTCGAACTGGGATAACTGGCGAGTATTCCCATCCAGCTGGAAACAGACTCGAAGACAGTCACCAAACCACGGAAAGGGCCACATGTCTTAGAAGGCTCCAACCTGGGCAAACAGGGGAGGGGAAGGTTTTTTTTAGGAAGAGGTCCACATATTTTAGCACGCACAGAACAATGGCATGGATACAATTCATGATGCAATACCACTGCTGCATTCTAAGGCCCAGTGTGAAACCATTTCCATAAGCATTTGGAAGGAGTGTTATTTTTTTAAAGAAGATTTAATTAAGGATATAAAGGAAGCTGCTTCATTTTAAAAAATGGTCTATCTCACGCAGCACTGACTGGTCATGGCCCTTAGAGGTTTTGGGCTCAAAGAACAGGTCAACTGGGGAGCCATCTTCCCTGCCTGGGGCAGGATGGAAGAAGCACTGGGGAAGAGATTATTTCATGGTTTCCTTTCCTTGTCAATTTTTCGGCTCAGAAAGACAAACCACACCATTTTACACAGTGCACACTGCTTCCTGTTAATGGAGTGCAATCTCCTTTGTTGAAGGCAGGGCTGGGGCAGAGAGGCCAGGAGGACCAGATTCGCCATCAATGGTTGGGAATCACAGGTGAGATGCCCACGCAGTGGAAGTTGCTCCCAGTACCATCACTACACTGAAGGAGTTGAGATAGTTTACTGTTGCAGAAGATAAGGCTCAGGAAAACAGTTCTGAATATAGATATATACAGCTTGTAGACTTTGGGAGATACAGATATATACAAATACACAAAAGTACAAAGTATTTCTAAATAAGTTCAGCAATACCAGACAAGTAATGCTGACTAGGGACGTGGATGACGCTGTGGTCTAAACCACAGAGCCTAGGGCTTGCTGATCAGAAGGTTGGCGGTTCAAATCCCCACAACGGGGTGAGCTCCTGTTGCTTGGTCCCTGCTCCTGCCAACCTAGCAGTTCGAAAGCACGTCAAGTGCAAGTAGATAAATAAGTACTGCTCCGGCAAGAAGGTAAACGGCATTTCCATGTGCTGCTCTGGTTCACCCTAAGTGGCTTTGTCATGCTAGCCACATGACATGGATTGTCTGCAGACAAATGCCGTCTCCCTCAGCCAATAAAGTGAGATGAGCACCGCAACTGCAGAGTCATCCGCGACTGGACCTAATGGTCAGGGGTCCCTTTACCTTTTTTAACACTGACTAACAGACAGACACACCACTGCACTGAACACAGATATAGTCGGGGCACTAGGCTGGTAGTGTAGCTATTTGCTTGGCTGTACTTGCACCTGTGATTAGCTCATTCATTGGGGTGATTTACACCTGCACTTGCTACAAGCTCTTCCTCTGCATGATGCAACCAACCCCTGACAAAAAATATCGGAAGCAAAGACTAAAACAGGAATAGAGAACCAGTGGCCCTCCAGATATTCTTGGAGTCCAGCTCCCTTCAACCCCAGGCAGCACAGCCAATGGATGATGGGAGTTGTAGTGCAGCAATATCTGGAGAGCCACAGATTCCCTCTCTGTATACAAAAGCCTTGGGCAGAGCAATGTAATCTGACAAGGGGAAAGAAGCAATCCTGCTTACCTCCAGACGGTGACTGCTATGACAGAGAGGACTCCAGTGAAAGATGGGAAAAAGAGCAGGAAAACAAAGAGGGTGTTCATCTGAGAAGCTCTCCAAGCTTTGTGAGGGGGCTGGCAGTTCCTCATCAGACTCACCTTTCAGGAACAAGGACGAAGAGGACGAGCATTTCAGTACATTCAGTGGGAACTCCATGCATATGCCATTGAATCAAAACAATATGTAAGGTCAAGCAATACATTAAGCATGTTTTTTTTAAAAAAAATAAAGCACTGGTGGCTTTCCAAAGAAACCACTGTGTGGGATCCCAATCCTGACAGGAAACGTGATGCATTCCAGACAGGTAAAAACCACCCAGGAAAGCAAAGCAGGGCTGGCCAGCAGTTTGGCTTGGGATTGAGGAGGGATTATGATCTGGGGTGAGTCCCAATGGCCTTATAGAAAGATCTAGACAACTGGTTTTGGGCCTTGAGCCTGAGGTTCCCCAATCCTGGTAATGTGGGATTGTTTAAGATCAGCCCCCCCCCCAGGAAAGGCTGACTCCTCTTCCCAGGCACCAGGGCTTCTCTCCAGTGGTCACCCTCTGGCTGAACTTCCCTCAGTCCAGAGAGACCGGTGATAAGCGACACCTCCCTTATGAGAGATGCACACTCACTTTCCCCTGGCATCTCAGCAGAAGAAAGAGACAGTCTGAAAGTAGTCTAACATTCTACTTTATTCAACAGACTGTACACTGTACACGGAGCTAGTACAAGCATGTCTGCTCTCTCAGCAGTCTCCGTACAACTATCTGCTTCCCCCTTTGCAGCAACAACAGGAAGGTCTCAAGTTACACTGAGAACACAACCCTGGGAACAGCGTAGGACATCCTGTCTCACGCTCAGTAACATCAGAAACTTCACATGATGTAAACAATATGCTGCTACCATGCAGCTGGTGGGTACTCAAATCCCAACAGGGATAACCAGCCTCATATAATCAACATGCTTAAGTCTGATTCATGCATGAATGGGTTAAGACCATAGAGTAAGATGTCCTGCCAAGCTTACCTCACACAGGAAGGGACTGGGTAATCAAGCCTTCTATGCTGGGGAAGAGGGACGTTTTGGAACTCACAAGGGCATATTTTAAAGGTCTATGTTTCCACATCTTACTTTGCTGCATATTTTTTTATTTTAAATCTCTGCTGGGGTTCTCTCACCAAACAGTAATTGCCCCAAACCTGGATCTTGGCATCCATGGAATTCTGAGAAGCTAGTACCTTTTTCACCCAGAAGATTATGAAATATGATATCATTTGAATGGCTGGAAGTAGAGGTGAGTAGAAGACACCAATCCTTCAGGAGAGAGAGAAAAGGGGCGAGAAGAAATCATCTCAAAGCTTCTCTTTGCACGACACAAGGTATAAACAGAAGGCATCCCACTATGAGGACATGGTTTGATGAACAGTTGTGTGTCCAAGTGAGACCACCCATGTCTCAGCTAGTGGTCCCCCAGTAAATATGACTTGGATATATAACATCCATGCAATTAAATAGGGGGAAATAATTTAAGACATTAAGAATATGAAATAAGTTGCTCTCTATCCCTCTCTTATCGTTTTAGCAACATTTAAAAGGAAGTCGAAAGCCTTATTTCAAACCACGTTAGCAGTTGTATACTATAACTAAACCATAGGAAAACTATGTTAGGACTACAGGCATGTACCAACCACCAACCACATTTGGTTCAGACCCTGACTTGCTGCTAGACCTGAAGAGGTCTGAAGGCTTCCCAGAGCAGTTCAGGGTCTGAGGCCAAGTCCAGGAAAAATTAGATTTAGCTTTCCACAGTCAGTGTAAAAAAAAATAAATGGTCGTAAACGATTTCCTTTTGACAGCAGTGGATGCAAATTCACACTAATAGAAGGCCCTCCAGAGTGGATAAAAGCCTGCTAAATGACAGGGATTCAGGTCTAGGCAGGGTTTGTGCTGAGCACTGTTACAGTTTGATGCTTAAAAACAAAGGGACTTCCTTTCAATTCATGAAATGTGCAAGCAGTATCTAAGTACTGCAACAGGGCTGGGGAACCCATGCCCATCCAGATGTTGTTAGACTGCAACCCCCATCAGCCCCAACCAACAAGATCGGGGTGATGAGAGATTTAGTACAACAACTGGAGGGCCACACATTTCACAGCTCTGTATTTCACAGAGATATTATGGGTAAGATTATTTTTACTCACCATGTCAAAGTCTGTGCATAGATTAAATCCAAAACATTTCGAGCAATGTCAAATTCTGGCACGCCAAGTTTCTTGCAACATTTGGTCCCAATGATTCTAAAAGCGGAACAAAATTATTTTGAAACTCCAGACTTTTCCAACAGTCCTGCAAACCTCCCATATATATACCCTACGCCCAAGTTGGGAAAGTAGCCAAGAGCCCAATGAATCAGCTGGATGGTGAGCAGCCAGATGTCTTCTCACAGGTACAGACATTCATACACTCACAACCTGGCATACTAAACAGAACCACTTCATGCTGTGACAGTTTGTTGCAGGCCCCACCTATGCGATGCCAAGAAGCACTGCAGGAGAAAACGAAACAGTTGTGAAAGAGCAAGGAGGTTAAGAAGAACTTAAGGAGTATGTCAGGATGGAAGGATCCCCTTGGCAACAATGAAAAGGAAACAGCACAGGAATTTTCCTTGTACAAATGCAGAATCGGTGCACGTACCTCCGCAGAAATTCTCCAAAAAAAGATCCCAGTAAGCAGCAAATGAATTCAGCCACAAGCAGCCTGTAGATATCTTGGCCAACCAGAGTTTCCCAGCACTAATTAAAAGAAAATAAAAAAGTTTATGAGGGTGTGCCAGAGAGAAACAATCAACTGGCAAATACAAGGACTCTCCATCTCCTTGCTATCTGTAATATGCCTGTGTAAGCCTGCAGGCAGAGACAATCATGGAAGTGATTTTTTTTTTTTTGTACGCTACTCTGATCACCCTTTTGGCTACAGGGTATGGTATAAATGCTGTAAGCAAGCAAGTAAATGAATGAATATCGCTTCTCAGGCTTTTGGCTAAGATCATGTGCAGTGTAATACATACAGCAGGCACATCTCGTGATGCCCATCTTAAGAGCTGCCTACAGCTCACCTTGGTAAGCAAGTGTCTTGGACTATATCACCTCCAACTGTGGATAACGCTTCCCCCAAGAGAAGAAAAATCCCCATTCACACGTTACACCAAGGCTCAAAGAAGGATAGGATATGGCCTTTCTCCCCTGTGAAGCAGCCTTCAAGCTTGCCACCTTCCACCTCCAGCCTGAAGTGATGCAGCCCCAAAACCAAGATTTTTACCCTCTCTGTTGCTGTCTGAGAGACGGAAGTTTCTGTTATCTCCTTATACTTAAGATCCGCAGCAGTGCAGAAGCAAACTGGAAAACCTTACCTCTGCCTTTGACGCAGGTACTTCGTTAAGCCAGTAGTAGCACAGGATCCCAACGATTGATATTTTCAGAATAACGTTCCTACAGAGGGGCAGCAATTGCCATCAGAATTCAGCAGAGGGACACAGTACAAGAAAAGTACTTGTGGGCAGCATCAGATCCCTTTCGGAAAATGTATTCATTTATTACATTTATATCCTGCCTTTCCTCTAAGAAGCCCAAGGTGGCATGCACAGTCCTCCCCCTTCTCCATGTCACCTTCACGACAACCCTCTGAGGTAGGCTAGTCTGAGAGTGAGTGTATAGGGAAGTTATTAACGTCTGATGTCTTTTTACGCTTTTAGATTTGTTGGAAGCCACCCAGAATGGCTGGGGCAACCCAATCCAATGGGCGGGGTACAAATAATAAAATTATTATTCTTATTATGGATGCTTTAGCTGAGATTCCTGCATTGGACCAGAGGATCCACAGGGTCCCTTTCAACTCTATGATTATTATGAAAGTGTGGAATTCACAACCAGGATGGCTTTAAAAGATGGTTATTCAGATTCAAGGAAGATAAGGCTATTATCCACGGCTATTTCTACCTCCACGGTCGGAGGCAGCAAGCCTCCGGGGTAAAAGTCGCTAGGAATCACAAGTGTGGCAAGCATCATTTGCTCTGCTTGCAGGCTCCCCATGGGTACCTGACTGGCCACTGTGGCAGCAGAATGTTGGACCAGATGCGCCACTGGCCTGATCCAGCAGGACTTCTCTTAAAGCCTCAGACACACACCCCATAAAAGGATTTCCTAATGAACTCCTCCTATGCAAGTGTTGTTATTCGCTCACGCAGTAGGTAGCAATGGCTACTGACTTGTATGGCTTTAACAGAGAATTAGACAATTCATGGCGTATGAGGCTTCCCAGTGGCCAGTTGGCCATGATGGCTATGTTCCAATTTTATTGGAGGAAGGATGCTTCCGAATACCAGGTTGTTGGAATCACAGGTTGGGAGGGTGCTGCTGTGTTCTGATGGTGCTTGTGGGCTTTTCGTGGACCTCTGTTTGGCCACAGCAAGAACAGGACACGGCGTAGATGGGGTGGGAATGTATCTGGGGTCTTTTTATTTATCCGCAAGGCAGTTCCCAAAATGCATTTTAACAGAACAGGAGTGCCGTTGTGAACCTTTGATAATATCTGTAATCCCTCTTAAAATACAAGACACAACACAGTCTTTACAAAAGTATAAAAGAGTTTACTCACGTTCTGTTCACAATATGATTCCAGAAGGCAGACAGGCTTTAAAAGTTACATATACTTAGAATCTATCTTGTTGCAAGATAGACCTTATCTCCTCTCTTGGCTGAGAGCCAAGAGGGCATCTTTACATGCTTCCTCATCGAAGGAAAATGGCAGAGAGAGAGAGATGGTTGCCTGTCCTGTGCTTTTGTCATTACCTGCACAGGTGAGGCCACACCCACCTCTAGTCACATGTGGGGAGGAAGTCCGTCCGCCAGGAAGTCACCTGCTTGCTGGGATCCAGACATCCCTCCCCATGTTTCTATACATGTACACTCTAGGAATGTGTGTCATGACTGCTCCTGTTTTACATCCACAGATGGACCTTGGCTTGCTCCACCAGGGCTATCCTTTAGGTTCTCACGCAAAGGCTTCACAGATGTGTTCCCAATGGAGTCACTCACCATGCCCTAACCAACCAGCTTAGCTTCAGTGAAGATGCTGCATGTGAGCCTTTCGATCTTGATCTGGTACAGACCCAGCTTAGCTTAGTGAAGATGTGGACAATAATTCGTGTATCTTTCTTAGGATGACTGGTTATTAACTGGACTAAATAAATGGACTTTAGGGCAGGAGCATGTGTGAAGACAGCAATACCTGACAATAGCAGTGTAGATCTGGTTTCGGGGAGAAGTGAATTTTTCAACAAAGCCAAAGGAGGAGTAGAAGAAAGGCACACCATGGTTGAGTAGGCTCACCACAATGGGCAACACCAGGTAGCAGCTTCCCTTTGCAGCTCATTTTTACTCTCGTCAAGAAGTAACTTTGGGAGAGGGAGAAGAGAGAGAGAAGCTATTTAATTCAGACATCAGGTTTACTGCCTGTTATACCATCAAAGAGAACATGATGACAATGTTTTATAGGTGGCATCTGACACCATCTAAACTTGCCAAGATCTACATGTTAAAGTCCAATCTATGCTGGAAATGTGAGAAGGCTGAAGGGACAATGTTTCATATTTGGTGGGGCTGCAATAAAATTAAGAAATTTTGGGGTAGTATTCATGAAGAGCTTAAAAAGATGTTTAAAATCTCCATAGGAAAGAAACCTAGGGATACTAGGGAAAGATATCCCACAGGAAAAGAAAGAAACTTTTTGTACGCCACCGCCAGAATAGTTATTGCCAGGAATTGGAAAGGAGACATTATACCTACAAAAGAAGGTTGGATATGTAAACTTAGTGAATTTATAGAATTGGCAAAGTTAACAGCAGCCATAAGATACCAGACAAATCAAAAACTAAGATCAAGCAGGCTATTAGTCCTACAAGGAGCCCAGAATATGGTGTGGATTTGTTAAGCAGGGCTAGGGCAACCCTTTTCAGCTCAGAAGGAAGGCTGTGTTCCCTTCTTAGCAACCTTCCAGAGACCACATCCCCTTGCAAGGCATGGAAATGTCACCTTTGTACTGTAGGCTGCTTTCTGTACATGCTCACACACCCTTCTCTATCCTCCAGGTAAGCAAGAGGCATTTTCAGAGTTCAAGGACACATTCCAGCCAGGCAATTACATGCAGGGAGGGTGCAATGCAAGCTAGTGACAAATGTGGCTGGAGCGGGGCTGTGGCATGGGGAGAGTCTCAAGGGCTGCCCCTTAGAGAGGCCTGGGGGAGCACATTTGGCTCTGCCCCACGCCACACCCATGGGGCAGAGCTAAGCATGAGATGATAGGGACATAGGAAGCTGCTCTATACCAAGTCCGACCATTCATCCATCTAGCTCAGTGTTGTCTACTCTGGCTGGCAGTGGCTGTGCCTGCCTTTTGCTCCACCAGTCCCAACAGGCAGCAGCCCTCATTGCTCTGAGCACATAGCCTTGTAAGAGCACACTCGCTTATTTCTCAAGCGAAACGCAGGGCAGGTCATATTATTATACAAAGGCATAAGCAGAGAAAAAATGTATTAAGAAATAAATCAAAGGACCTTACATTTAAGTTAATGAGGCAGAAGTAGTAAATGCCAGCGCATGAACCAGCTGTCGCTAACAGCGACACAACCCAGGCCGCCAGGTGAATGAAGAGCCGGTTAATTTTCTGGCGCTGAGAAAGCTTCAGATATTCAGTATTCACTTCCGACAAGGTCTCCTGAAGCCGGAACAATTAAATATGATTGTTAAGGTTAGGGGAGATTAGCAGCCAAACCTACCAAATGCATATTCTTGCTAATTAGAATGAGAAGGGGCTAGCATCACACAGCTGTTCTGCTGATCAGCAGATACTCAGACTATAGAAATAAAATTGGTAGAGAGGGTTCTGTATGATGTCACTTCCCCTCCTCCCCAGAAGAGGAAGGAGCATGTAGTACTTCTTGTTCCTCTTTCTCTTCCTTTGACCAGTGTTGGATGCAGGCATGCACTTGTTCTAGCTCCAGGCACATGTCTAAAGCTGGTTACACTGTAAATATAAGTATTTTGCCTGCATAGTTTTTATTGCTGCCATTGCTGTGAACCAATGCAAGATTGTAAGTAAATTATATTTTTAACTTACTTCCCAGGTTGTTGCCTGATTCTTTGTTCCCTCAGGGTTAGAGAGGGAAAGCCAGCTTACTTCATAGCTGGACTTGCTCAAAAACAAGGTTTTACAGCCTAATTCCTATGCTTTTAATTTTGCTGCCAAGGATGGGACTTTAAACTCTGTTCAACTCACACAGGTAGGGCCAGCCATGCTCATAGTGGCCCACCTGTTGCCCATGGGAATCCCACAAACAGAATCTGAGGTCAACAATGCTCTCCCCACTTGTGATTCCCAGGAACTGGAATTCAGATACCAGATGTTGTGTATAGCTATCCTAACCTCCTAACCTTATCCTCAATGACTGTAAGCTGATGACCATTGTCTAAGTCAATGACCTTCAGCAAACCAGCAAATTCTATTAGTTGAATGAAGTGCATTTCACAGCATACCTTTATCTGAGTGCTGAGATTTCTCTGTTGCAGCTTCACAGCTTTCTCATTAGTTATACTGAAGTCCCAGACACAGAGAAGTTTGGCAGCATTTCCAGCGTACATCTGGGGATGAGCAAAGTTGTTGCGGAAGGACTTTGCCATGCTATAATGAAAAGTGATACATGCATCAGCGGTTGTATGAAAGCGGGGAGGGAAGCAGAGAAAATATTAGATGAAAAGCAGTAAATCGCACAAAGTGGGACCTGCAACAAATGTTGCAGCGTGAAGTACTCCTGCTGCAGGGCCACCTAGTCATACCCTTTTCCAGGACACTCCATTCCATCCCTGCTCAATTTCCTGCCCCCCCCCCGCCCCCGCGTGAGAGATAGAACCATTGTGTGGTCACTGTTGCGTCCCCTTAAAATTTATGTGTATATATATATGTGTGTGTGTGTGTGTGTGTACACACACACACACGCCTCAGGGATGTCACGTTTGCCAATACCTCCCCTTGTATGCTTGAACGGTGCTGTTTTGTCTACATAAAAGATTGGCGGCACCCACAGCACTCACATCAAAATCCAAATGCACCCATGGGCCTAAAAAGGTTGGCAACCCTTATGTTCAGTCAAAAGGTTGGAAGGCTGATGGTGATACTGTGTAGTGATGTACAGATGGCTGTTTTCTTTCCTTTTCATTAAAGAAAACAAAAACTAAGACACAAGAGGCCATGTTGAGCAGAGAAGCAGCAAGAGAGGGTGGATTATTCTGTGACCCTACAGATGTTGTCGACTACAACTTCCATCATCCCCAACCACTGGCCACACTTGCCTGCACTCATGGGAGTTGGAGTCCAACATCTGGAAGATCACTAGGTCTCTCATCCCTGTATTATATCAGCTTTCAAACAAGTGATCATTTTTAGCACTCAACAATATTTTAAAGAGCAATCTTTCCCCCCCAGAGTCACCTTTAAATCCAAAAGAAATCTAAGTATCACTGTACCTGTAGAGCAAGCTTAAGAAGCAGATAATAAAATAGATTCCTATGGTGAAAATATAGGCCAGCTGCATGTAATATGAAGAGTTGCTCTCGTTTTCAGTGATGGTAGTATTGGTGTAAAAACCGTAATAGAGCACAGTGTCGCTAAAATAACCCTGAAACAAAAGAAACATAAATGTGGCTTAAGCAGGTTAACGAAAGGTTTCAGTTATGAACTTGAAAATGCCATACAGTGCAGGGCTTGTTCTGCTTTGTAACATGAAAAACTATGACACACGCCATTGGTTATATCATTGACATGTCCCTGAGAGGATAAAGAGGAACGGCCTGTGGCTGTGCCTGTGGCCCCCCAGATGTTGGGACTCCAACTCTCATCAGCTCCAGCCAGCATAACCATGGTCAGGGATGATGGGAGTTGGAGTCCAACAAAGACCTCACCCCTGGAGTGAGAAAGCAATGCATGGACACTTTTGCAAAAGGGTTGTTCACTACATCACAGGAGTCCCAATTATGAAGAGCAAGATAATGGGACAAAGGAAGGAAGGAAATAAGACCCCACCAGATGAGCAGAGTATAAATAATAAAATTATTTCAGGGAGAAGGGAGAAATGAGGGGGGGCACACACTGATGCAGTGTGCAGTCCTCCTTGCGCCAACTTATAATGGAATAAGCCAGACTGCAAACACTGAAGTAGACCATTGATCCGATCCAGGTCAAAATCCACCCAGAAGGGATCAGGGAGTCTACTTTGGAATCCGAGGACAGATTCCTCCTCCTCCTTCCCATTCCAAGTGCGTGTGAGAAGAGACCAAATGAGATTGGTTGAATGCCATGAATTGTGGGGAGGAGTTGTGTCCAGTCAATTTTAGACCTGGTCTCTGTCTCTGCCACCAGTACAGTGGTACCTTGGTTTACAACCATAATCTGTTCTGGAGGTCCATTTAAACCAAAACAGGTTGCAACACAAGGCACGCTTTCGCCAATGGGGCCTCCAAATTTTTTTGTTCATAATCAAAAAAATAATGGGTTGTAATCCAAAAAAATGTTGCAGACTGGGACACACACTTCCAGGTTTGATGTGTTTGTAATCCAAAACGTATGCAAACCAAGACATATGCAAAACAAGGTATCACTGTATGTGGTACCAACACCACTCCCATTACACAAAAATGTAGTCCAGCTCTGCTTTAGGCAAGCTATATTTTAGAAGTCCTCTGTAGCACAAGGCTTACTAATTGGGGGTGGGGAACAAGCCCAGATGAAACCTATTATTGTTTTAAAAATCCACTTACAGCTCCAGTGAAAAACTCCAGCCCCAGGAATGATAGGTTATTTGCTCTCGCTGCTATGAGCTGAGGGATCGCAATAAAACTGAAGTTCACAAGGAACGAAAAAACGTTGAACGTCAGGAGCCACGTCAGGAACACGAAATAGGAACCGACGCTGGTCCCGAACTTTCCGCCAATGTCTTTTAGAATCTTCTGCCAAAGTTTGAGGAGCTGAAAGCAGTCTGACAAGCCGTTTTTAAACTGTCGAAAGGACTAGGAAGAGGAAGGGGGAGAGAGAGAAAACAAAGCATCAAGCCTTTGGATAATGTCTGGGTCAATTCTGTTTTGTTTGTTTGCTCCTTTAAAGCAGGGGCCATCAACCTTTTGGGACTGATGAGCCAACGTCACCTGCATAAAGCCCAACTTCAGTTCATATGTGATAAAATGTATTGCGACAAGTAGTATTTTCATCATAAATACTAAGGGCAAACTCAACTCTCCTTAGATAGCTGAACCAATTCCACACATGCAAGAGCGGGGAATCTATGGGGTTTGGGGGAATGTGAAGATTTGCAGAAATTGTGGGTTGGGGGGGGTTTAGGAGGAAACAACCCTGGGGGAGGGGAACCCTCACTTAAAGAAAAATCCCAGCACAGGCACAGACTGCTAGTAAACAGTTGGGGGTGAGAAGGAGGGGATGGAAGACTTAACAGGAGCATTTATTGCTGCAGCATCACAGCTCCCGCTTGCCCTTTATTGCTTTATTGCTAGAGGTACTACTGGTAACACATAGAGCAGTGAATGCAACACTATGTCTTTCACTGATAGCAAAGTTAAGTAGGGCCAGGCAGTAAACGGCGCTCCTTCTCCCAAGTCAAGGCGCATAGTACCCAAGGCAGGTTAGATTATTTGGCCCCTGAGGCAGATGATCACACAAACCCCTTTTTATCTCTCCCTCCCTGGCGGTACAAGAGCAATACGGTACTTCAATCATCATTATCATCATGTGCTTAACAAGTCTGCTGCCCTTTCATGACCTGTTTAGCTGCCTGAGGTTATTGCTTCCTTCAATCTATGGATGAGGGGGAGAATTCTGATTCTTTTTGAATTTTAATAAGAAGCTTCTACACCCAACACACAAAGCAAACCATAGCTATCCTTTGAAATTCAGATTTCTCGAATTTTGCAGTGCAGTTCTCCAACCAAATAATGTCTTTCAAAAGAACATGTATTCAGGAAAGCGCTCACAAAAATGCATATATCACAGAAAACAACAATGCACTATATTGGGAAGAAGTGTTTACAAAAAAAGGTGCATTTCAGTCAAATGGCTGTATTTTTGTATGGGAGCAAAAATGAGAATTTTAGGAGAGATTTACACTAAAAAGCTGGCAGACTTTCATGAGGGGTTGTTGTTTTTTAAAGTTGCAAGCAGCTGTGAAAATGTGAAGAGCTGAGATGAAGATTGGAGAAATGAGAAAGTGAAATGGGCAGATTCACCCACCTCTAAGTTTGTTTAATGATAGGGTCGGACTCCAGATTGTCAGTACAGTGGTACCTCAGGTTACATACGCTTCAGGTTACATGCGCTTCAGGATACAGACTCCGCTAACCCAGAAATAGTGCTTCAGGTTAAGAACTTTGCTTCAGGATGAGAACAGAAATCATGCTCCGGCAGTGCGGCGGCAGCGGGAGGCCCCATTAGCTAAAGTGGTGCTTCAGGTTAAGAACAGTTTCAGGTTAAGAACGGACCTCCGGAATGAATTAAGTACTTAACCCGAGGTACCACTGTAATATAAACCAAGAAACAGTAAAATCCTAGCCTATTGACTTCAGAAGTAAGTCTCATTGTATCAGCAGGGCTTACACCCAAGTAATCAGGCACACAACTTCAACCAAAACCTGGCAAAGCTTTCCTGACCAGATGGGGAAGATAGTTGTATGTAATAGAGGGCATCAACACACCACCTGCATGCTAATTTTGCAGTAGTTAATGGTCCTCTTCTATTTATCTGACTTGGCAGAGTGCCCAAAGGAAAACCCCACCACTCTGAAAGGACACCCTCACCATATCACATCAACATTCTTTAAACATTCCCATGGAACACTTAACTCTTAATGACAGCATGCAACACTTACCAAAGCTGTGTTGTAGAAGCACTGTGAGCAACAGTTAATCTGCCTGTGGGACTTCCTGGTTTTCTCCATAAGTACGCTATCCCTATGGAGTTGCAGGTGGTAAAAATTATATGGGGGAGGGTTACTTCCAAAGTTTTGGCTTGCTCTAAGCAAGGGTAATGCATATCGCTAATAGCTTTTTGCATGTGCAAGGTATTCACTTAATTACTAGAAGTTTGGGAACTAGCAACAAATCCTAATCCCTCTCTGATCTCACTCTCTCTCTTTTGGGTAGACCTAAATGGGACACGGGTGGCACTGTGGGTTAAACCACAGAGCCTTGGGCTTGCTGATCAGAAGGTTGGCGGTTCGAATCCCCACGATGAGGTGAGGTCCCGTTGCTCGGTCCCTGCTCCTGCCAACCTAGCAGTTCAAAAGCACAAAGTGCAAGTAGATAAATAGGTACCGCTCCGGTGGGAAGGTAAATGGCATTTCCGTGCGCTGCTCTGGTTCGCCAGAAGTGGCTTAGTCAGAAGTGGCCAGTAAAGCGAGATGAGCACCGCAACCCCAGAGTCGTCCGCTTTACTTTTTCAAAAGTTACACTACCAGACATCAAAGTCTTATTAGGTGTATACTGGCACTTTGTAATTTCCATTGTCAGTTAAAAAAAGACATCAAAAGGTTTTGGTTAGCTAGTCACACACAAATAAGTATGCGAACTTATAATTAAGAGAACATATTCTTAAATTTTTGTATGCTATTGGCCCCCTTTCCAGTCAAACCTTTTCCAAAGAACCTGCAACCACCAGTGATTTGGCCTTACCTGATCTCTCTCTTTTCTTTCATAGGCTTTGGAATCTTCTGGATTGCTTTGATTCTTTCACTGGTGGACATGTCCGCAAGATCACCAATTAATTTTTCTTCTGCAAAAACAAAAAAAAGTATTTGACACCACTTATAAATCACTTTCCAAGTTATTTCACAATAATAATTCTATATATGCAAGCAATTAAACATATACAAACAATTAAAAACAATGTTACATGTGAAAAACAGATACAGACTGGGATAAGATATTTTAGAAACTTGCTTAAAAGCCCTTCAGACAGAGCAGGCCTTGCCAATAGACAAGGGCATCTGCACTATACATTTAAAGCACTAGGATACCACATTAAACAGTCATGGCTTCCCCAAAGAATCCTGGGAAATACAATTCATTAAGGGTGCTGAGATTTGCTAGAGACTCTTATTCTGCTCACAGAGCTGCAATTCCCAGAATTCGGCTCCCAAGAGAATATTAAACAGAATAAAACATCAAACATTAAAAACCTCCCTAAACAGGGCTGCCTTCAGATGTCTTCAAAAAGTCAGATAGTTGTTTATTTCCTTGACATCTGATGGGAGGGCGTTCCACAGGGCAGGCGCCACTCTGGAAATTGTATCTCTGTGAAGGGCTCTCCCAGCAACTCCCAGCTCCCTTAACCAACTTTGGTTCCCATGATTCTTCGGGGGAACCAAAGAATAGTGGTATCATAGAGCTTTACATGTACAGGACAGGTGTGGCCAGAGTGATGCGGCTGCCTCGGGTGACAGGCGCAGGGGAGCAACAGCAAGGCGCTGTGGCGGAAAGAACTGGCTGTACCCTCTAAATAATCTTGCTGCATTCAGGAGTAGTGGAAGATGCTGTCCTGTCAGCCAATGTTGAAGTAAGATTCAACTTTGAGGCTTCTCTGCATGGAATAACAAGGGGTTGCCATGTTGTCCCTTGCCTTGGACTCCTCCTTATAGTTCCACAGTAGAATAATTCTTTAGAAAATCCCTTCCCCTCCCCCCAAGAAAATTATTGCTGTAACAAAAGGAAAGGAACACTTATTGTGGCACAGTATGCTTACATCTTGCGTGGGGTCATGTTCTGGGGAGGGTGTGTATACGCAGAAATGCCTATACATGAACCGCCCCATTGGAACTGCCCTCACACAACCATCCTCAACTTCCAAGCAAGACAGAGATCTTTTAAGCTCTCCACCTTGCTTACTAGGCTCTGGGATGCTCTCATGAGATCTCATGGGGCCATCTGAGTTCCCGCGAGATCTCGCAAGAGCATCCTAGAGCAAGATAAGCAAGTCCAAGAGCTTAAAATCTCTTTCCGCACTGGGAAAACCCAGCACAAACAAGGAGCTTTGAAGCTCTCCACCTTGCATGCAATTAATTTGGAGGATTTCAAGCAGCTGGCTTTGAACCACACAAGGTTGAAATCACACAAGTAAATTGGGTGCAAGATGCAATTGTACTGTAATGATTTAATAACACATTGACCAACAACACTGAGACTCTAAAAATTCTTTCCATAGGAAACCTGGGAGGAATGAGAAGTCGGAAGAATTTATTTACCATCCTTTTTCTTGGTCTCTTCATATCCTGGGTCTGATCGAAATAGACTAGACGGTGTCATGAAGACCATATCAACTTCTTGCCTGTGACGTCTCTGGATTAAGTGAACTGAGGAATTAACCAAAGCACCTTTTTAGTGAACTTTACAAAGCTTAATAAATGAAGCACCGATCTAAATAGATTTGTTTTCATACAGCTTACCTTCCCAGTGTAATATGCTAGAAGTCTACTGTGGGGAGAGGTAAGGTGTATGAGAGCCTAACTAGGTTATATAAGATCACTTATATAAGCTGTTAAGAAATTTTCTTATATGTTATTTCACAGTTTCCCACTTTTAAAAAATTAAACTGATTCCTTTCCTTTTCCATAACTGGTTAGCTAAAACCCTTGAGTTTTCATTACCAAGTTCATAATAGGATTGTTTAAGATATTGAATGGTCACAATTTTGGGAATATTTAGTGAGTAAAGCTGTTTTATTTTCCCAGGTAACTGTCAGTAAGCACATTTACTAGATGCAATTTTATGTTATCCTGTTCTTAAATGTCTTCAACTAATGGTAGACAAAGGACTTTCCTCTTGTTTCAGTGTACTGTGTTACTGATAAGAGTACCCCAAACCACAGCCTTGAAGGTATCCTATACCAGTGCTGGAGTATGAAGACCAGTGTCATTAAATGCCAAAAGCCACTGGGATTTCCTTAAACAAGCTTTGCCAGCATATAGGCAGCCAATGCAAGCTTTTAAGCACTGGAGATATTTGATGGTGACAACCCACCCCCATCAATTAAGCCACGGGGTTGTGTTTACCTGCTATATACAGTTATGTGCATACACTTCAAAATTTGAGAGCAGCAGAATCGGAATACCATGGGTACTTATACCTTCCACTTCAGAGCCAGAAGATGCAATTAACTGGTCTCTAATGGTCTGAGAACAACATGGCATTTATTCACTCCATTCTTCCTTTGGCAAATGGTTTTTAAATATGATTTCTGGCCTAAGTGGAGGTGGAACGTCTGAAGCATCTGTTTTTAGGTAAACCTTTTCCAGGTCTTCAACAGTCTCCATGTCTGAACTTAAGAAATTTGTGGTGGCTGAAGTATTTTTGCCCCAAACAAATTTATCCTGCAACCACTTACAGTAAATGGGCCAGAATGCTTTGTGTCCAATGTGCTGCCTGGGTTCTCAATATTTACATGTTTATTATTCAGTTGATCCTTTGGGGAATCCATATCACCCCCCAGAAATAGGAGGTTTCAATAAGAAAAGAGGATCTTTTGTTCTGTTATGAAGAACAAAATAGCTTGATTTTTGTCTCTCATGAATGAAAGACATTACTACTTTGAAGGGAAGTGGCAGATCTTAGCTTGGAAAGAATTTCATTCCCATCCCTAACATAGGGCTGCCATATTTCAAAAATCAAGACTCAAAAACCGCCCCCGAGCCCAAACAGCCCAAGCCAGAGAGTTTAAAGACATCACTCACAATTGCATTTCTTGTTTTATGCTGAGGTAGGACAACTCACTCTGAGGAAGGAAAATCACACTGCGGAGAATGACTTAGGTCCCATATATCTGAAAGACCACCTCCTTCCCCACAGACCCTCTTGGGTACTGAGATCGGCACAGGGGACCCTCGTGCAGTTAGTTCCTCTGCCCTCAGAGGGTCGAGGAGGGTGACAGGACAGGGCATTCACTGTGGTGGCCCCCAAGTTGTGGAACTACCTTCCACAGAAGTGTGTCTGGCACCTTCATTATACAGCTTCTGAAGAATGCTGAAGACACACATTTCCCCCCTGGCTTTTGACAACTGAAGTGTACGTTTTTATGATTGTAAGCTGTTTTAATAGTTTAATAGTTTTTAATAGCGTGTTTTAATTCTGTAACCTGCCCTAGAACCTAAAGGTAAAGGAAACAAACAAACAAACAAACACCAGGATGCAGGGTCTCTATATCCTTTAGAATATACTTCAAAAATCTCTTCATAATCAAATGATATTTGCCTATTCAGTAAATTTTCTTACACAGTATTTAAAATTCAAATCAGCTATGAAACCTACTCTGAATAATTTTTGATATCAAAACTTAAAAATTTCAACAATGCCATTATATCCCATAAACCTTACCTCCATCAGGCATATCACCCAGTCTATGTGCATAAGGATCATTCAGAAGATTATTAGCAGCAGGCGACCTCTGTATTAATTCTGGTTCATACTCAAATGAAGGATTAACTAATGAAGAAAAAAGAAAAGTGCAGAAGCAGGTTGCAGCTCTTCTTGTAGTCCACACACACACACACACACACACACATCTAGGGGGAAAGCTAGGACCCTGTAGAACTAGTTTTCTGGGTCTAGAGATTTTGTACATTTTTACATGGAATCACATATATGCCCCACCTCCACTCTGACACAGTACAGCCCAAACCCAAGTGACAGCCAGAGCACAACCAAATTCACAAGCTGTTTGCGCATGCGCACACAGGCCCACCTTTTCCAATTTCACAAAAAATAAAATTGCATATATTCAGAGATTTTACCCCAGTTTTTCCATCATGTGTCCTTTTTTTTGGTGGGGGGGGAGCCTAGAATTCTGCCGAAGCCAAAATCGTAACTCACAGCCAGGCATCCCTAGTCCCGCTGGCAGCTGTGCAGATACTTACACAATGTATTAGATATATTACAGTATTCCCTGCATTTCTGACAAGTTTTAGAGGGCTGTTGTCATTTAGCCCAAAATTGCACCAGCCACACGCGGATGTGAAATTTCAACAGGCTTCAAGGATTTTGCACAAATCCTAAATTTGATGTGGAGGAAGACACCCAAAACAGTTCAGTATGCACTGAATGCCTACAAAAGGCTGACAAACTGTTTTTGGAGGGATGGAGAACTAGGAAAGATGTATAATGGAAAGGAGCGGCTGGGCTCTTAAAACATCAACACTTCATGTGGAATCCTTTTCTTGTGGTTCCCACTTGCATTTTTCCCATTATAGTAACCTCAAAATGTTCTGCATTATTCCGTTACAACTTGCAAACATAAAATGCAATGACATACCATGAGAGTTTCCATATGGATTTGCACTGGACATCTCAGGCACAAAATCTGTCCGCCTGTATTCATCATCATCAGATGGAGTCTGCATCAAGCTCATAGGCATCAGCACAAACGAGCTTCGTCCTTGTTCTTCCGCGTTGTCGTAATCAACATCGGATTCGTAGGGAGAGGCGCCGTAAGGATTAAAACGAAAAGAAGTGCTCCTCTGAGAGGGTCTTCTGTGTGAGAAATAAAGAGAGGGGGGAAGTAAGCAGCTACCAGAAAGAAAGTGAAATATACCGTATTTTTCGCCCTATAAGACGCACTTTTTCCCCTCCAAAAATGAAGGGGAAATGTGTGTGCGTCTTATGGGGCGAATGCAGACTCCTTGGCTTCAGCGATAGCAACGCGAAGCCTGCGCTCCGGAGGCTACGCATTGCTTCCGCTGAAGCCAGGAGACTCTGCTCTTTGAGGCTGGCGGTGGGGGAAAGCAGCGCTTCCCCCATCGCCAGCCCCAGAGGATGGGGGGCAGCGGGAAGGCGTGTGACGCCTTGCCACTACTCTCCAACGCGGGTTTGAGGCTGGCGGTGGGGAAAGCAGCGCTTCCCCCATCGCCAGCCCCAGAGGATGGGGGGCAGCAGGAAGGTGTGCGACGCCTTCCCGCTACTCTCCAACCCTCCTTTGGGCTTTTGCGGGAGATGGGGGAATTCCCCCACCTCCCACAAAAGCAGGCAAAAGCCGCACGCTCTTTAAAGGGGCTCTGCAGCTTCTGCTGGCTCCTAGAAAAGTCCGCAGGAGCCGAGCACCCTTTAAAGAGCGAGCGGCACTTGGGGGCTTTTCCCCAAGGAGGGAGAAGGGACTGACTGGCCGTTTCAGTCCCTTCTCCCTCCTGGTCGAAAAGCCCGCAGGAGTCACGTGGGGCTCCTCTGGGCTTTTGCGGGAGGTGGGGGAATTCCGCCACCTCCCACAAAAGCAGGGAGAGGTCTTGGAGTAGCGCACAGGCTGCATGCAGCCTGTCCACTGCTCCCAGAGCTGCGGGGGGGGGGGGAGAATCATATTTTCCCCTTGATTCCCCCCCCCCGAAAACTAGGTGCGTCCTATGGGCCGGTGTGTCCTATAGGGCAAAAAATACGGTAGGCATGGCTTAGAAAGGCCTAAAAATGTCAGAAGAACCCTGATGGATCCAACTACAGGTCTGAAAAGCTAACCACCTCTCACTATCTCATGATGAAATGGAGTGTCCGTTTGTAGGGACAATGATTCAAAGGCTTCATGATTAGAGGCAGTTCTCAAGGGCGACATTTGCCCATGGGTGCCACACTGGTGGCCCTAGGACTATCTAGTTCAACTTCCTGTATCTCACAATGGCTATTCAGATACCTGTGGAACGTCAACTAGCAGGACATAAATTCTCCTCCTCACAATCTCCAGCAAGTGGTAGTGCGAGGCATGCCCTCTCTGATCTTAGAGGTAGCATATAGCCCTCATGACTAGTTGCCACTGATAGCCTTTTCCCTCCATATAACCACCTAAGAGTAGCCATCTTTGAGCATGACCTGAAAAAGGCTTGGGGAACCTTTGGCCCCCAGCTAGCAAGGTCAATGGTGATGGCTGATGGGATTCGAGTCCAATAACATCTGGAGGGCCAAAAGTTCCCTAGCTCTTTTAATGAAAATGTGAATCTAATTTTGAATGTGTGTTGCATACGTAAAATGTTGGTGTCTGTGACACTGGCGATATTGTGTTTTCTGTGCAATTAGTAGAGGTCTCCTCTCAGAGACCAGAAATGCATATCCTAATAAGTCTGAAATGCAGTGGCAATACATGCTCCAATTGGCTGTGTAGTTGTGAAGGAGTTTTCCTCTTTATGTTTGGTTCAAGGTTTCCCTGCTATGTAGAAGGCTGGAACTACAAAAGAAAAGCTCTCTGGTCCTCTCTCCTCAAACTATATACTGTTTTCGTTCATTTTTCTCAGTGAGGTATTATTATCTGGATTTCTTTTCTCTTTGGATTCTACCTGTGTTACAAAAGTAACTTTGGTACCCATGAGGACTAAACATTCAGTAACAGAATGCTGCCAATCAGGAAACAAAAACAGAAGTCTGAGGAAATGAAATGGCTTACTGGAGAAGGGTGTGTTTTGCTGGCACCCTGAACAGAAATACTTTTACTTGTAATAAATAATCTAGATATCAATGCACAGAATGAGTAGCTAGGTTTATTCTAGGAACATGCATCATTATTTGCTTTGTTAATTCAACAATAGCAACAGCTTAGTCTTTTATATATGCTATATTTCAGACTTACGTTCTGTCAATCTCTAGCGTTTCAGAGTGGTGATAGTCTGGGTTTTCAAAGGCTTCATTATTGTAGTGGAAAGACATGATGCATCCAAATCTTTGCCTTCGTATGAAAGATGTTTAGAAATCAACTTGGTGGACTGTTTTCAGTTTTTTACTGGGCGAAGTTTCATCCCAAATCTATTTTAAAAGAAATTAAATTAAAATACGTTCCAGCCAATCCTTCACACTCACACCCTCTTGTTTAAGCCTTTAACCGTATCTCTCTCTCTCTCTCTCTCTCTCTCACACACACACACACACACACACACACAGAGTTTTCTCAGTTAAAAATCACATACCCTCTCAGAAGTCCTACGAGGAGTTGAACTGGGCATGTTTCACTTTGCTAGAGGGCTACAGGTCCCCTATCCCCAACAAAAGAGTTACACAGAGCAATCACAACTAGTAGCCACTGATACCCTTGTCCTCTTTGAGTTTCTTTCCTTTCCTTTTAAAGCCATCAAACTCAGAAGCCAGCATGTTTTCTTCTAACAATGAATGTCATAAATGCATAAATGCATCCAGTGTTAGCCCTACTCAAACATGGACATTACAGTACTTACTGCAGTCCATGAATTTCAGTGGATATACTCTGTGTTGAATTTAACCCACTAAAGACTGTGTGCAAGATGGCTCCGTTTATCCAGCCCAAATCTACCCCAATTCAACTTATTAGCTGTCCTTGAGTTGTAGTATTTTGGGGTGATGGTTATAGGAAACCACATATGCTGAATACTACATTCCGGTGTGGATATACCCAGTGGCGTAGCGTGGGGGGTGCAGGGGGGGCCGGCCGCACCGGGCGCAACATCTGGGGTTAGGGCAAATCCACAGGTTAGGGGGCGCAAATCCACGGGTTAGGGGGCGCAAATCCACGGGTTAGGGGGCGCAAATTACTTGCCTTGCCCCGGGTGCTGACAACCCACGCTACGCCACTGGATATACCACTTCAGTGAACCATGGTTATGAGATTGGGAACAGGCGAAGGGATTGCATACTTTCTCTCTCATGAGAATCTCTCCAAACTCTCCAAGTGTCCCTATATTCCAGGGACAGTCTCAGATTTACAGAAGCTGTCTCAGTTTCTGATTTGATGCTGCTTTTCCTTAGGATGTCCCTATTTTCATCAGATAAATGTTGAAGGGCATGGAGTTTTGTGACCCTCAAGCCAAGGAGATAAGTAACTAGACAACCTTTAGAAGACATCTGAAGGCAGCCCTGTATAGGGAAGCTTTTTTAAAAAAAATGTTTAATGGTTTCTTACATTTTTATGTGTGTCGGAAGCCGCCCAGAATGGCTGGGGCAACCCAGTCAGATGGGTGGGGTATAAAGAATAAAATTGTGGAATAGGACAGCCCTATTTTCACTAGAGAAACATTGGAGAGTATGTCTCACTCAGCTTAACTAAAGATCAAATTACATCAGCACTAACGTTAACTGTGTTTAAGTGCTGATAACAGAGCCTGAAAGCTCTGTTTGAAACCTTGGGTTAAGGACAAACCCTGGTTAAGGATTACGGTCTTGATTTTTATGCTAATATTTTGGTTTATGAACTGGTTGAATTGTGGATTGTTTTGTATTTTTATTGTTGACCCCCCCCCGCCCCCATTTATTTTTTCTTACAATACTTTAAAACATATCTTTCAGTCTGGGGACAAATTCCGTTGATACGTGTCAGTCTAACAGCACAGGGGCTCAATAGAAAAGCCACAATTCTAACTTTTCAACTGCATTTTTGTCTTCAGGTTAGGATTAACCTGTTCTGGCCTTCTTATGTTATTCCTATGAGATGACATGTTTTAGCTTGCCAAAAAACCAAACACAAATCCCATCTTCAAATATCCGCTACGTTACTTAGAAACCACAAGGAAATACTGAGTGCTAAAAGAGTTAGCATACCTTTGTTCAGCGAGACCAGGAAAGGTGGAAATGCTTTCATGGGCCTCAAGACAAAGGTCAGCCATTTTACTTGAACATAAGCAGCCTACCCTCTCTATCGTGTCATCAGGAACTTGTCAGCAAAAGTTCCAGGTGGCAATATAAAACATGGCGAATAAGTTAATACATTCTTTTACTCGGACTTCGATACCAACACGATACCAACACCATCAGCAAAACTCTCTTTTTCTTCCCAGAATCCTGAAGGAAAGTGTTTACGCTTCTACAAAAATAATTTGTGTAACACAGAAAGGAATAGTTTTTCACTCACACACACACACAGCCTTGATTCTGCTCTCTCCAGCTACTTAAAAAAAATAATAATATAAATTTTGTTTTCAATGCAACATTACAACAAAAATTACAAACACTGAATCCAAAATAAAAACTATACAAACAAGAAAGAAAAACAAGACACAAAAAGGAAAAAATAGAAAAAAAGGAAAAAAGGGGGGGTGAGCACACATCTACAAATAAAACCATATCTTCATTCTAGTCTAGTCATTCATTGAATTTGACGTGTGTGTGTGTGTGTGTGTGTGTGTGTACGTTTGAAAGAAAAATAAAGTAGCTGGTCATATGTATGTACCAGCTACTTTCTTTTACTTTCAAACGTACACACACACACACACACACACACACACACACAAACTTGTCAAATTCAATCATTTAGTTAAATAAAGTGTGTCATTTTGCCCTCAGTCGGTATACCGCCTTAGCACATCATGCTATTATTAAGTGATTTAATCACCGAGGTCAAAACAAACAGGACAAGCTCCAGGATCAAGGAGTCCCTTTGCAATGTTCCCTCCCCTCCTATATATCCTACCTGCCCCATACATTTGAAGCAGTATCACACCACCTTAAAGAGCCACTGCTTCCCCCCCCCCAAAAATCCTAGGAGCTACAGTTTGCTAAAGGTGCTGAGAATTGTTGGGAGAGACCCCATTGTCACCCTACAATGACAATTCCCAGAGTTCTCTGGGAAGCTCTGTGAGGGAAAGGAGGGCAATGGCTGAGCCAGAAAAGAAATTGGGGGGGGGGCACAGAAGGGGCAAGGTATATTTCTCTGGACTCATTTAAGGTCGTTCTTCCTTGTCCCTGCTATAGACGTGTAGCTTCACTGGCTCTGGGTATTTATTTATTTTAGCTCATTCACTTTATTGCTTTCAGGATGTTCTCAGCCAACTTGAGCAGCGAGAAACTGCAACCTCAAAGTAATAGCCTGAGCCATCAGAATCAACAAAGAGCGAGGCTCTTTTGCTTCTCAGGTTACATCGAACTGAATACTGTGTTTGCTACCAGTTCCAGGTTATAATTTAATGAGATGTATCGCTTTCAAGATCTTCACCGACCAAGTTCATTTGGAGCAGGAAGGAGAGGAAATTAAAATATATGGATTCTCTGTTTGCTTTTAAAGAACACAGCAATTGGATTAGCAATCTCTGCAACCATGGTATCTTTTTAGAAAACTATTTCCCATTAAGATAGATCAGGAGGGCTGAACCACAGGCTTCCTTCTCTCTTTGGTCCTTTGGACTCTCTCCACGCCACACATCTTCTCAGTCACACCAAGGTGTGTAAAAAATAGCCTAAATTTACCTCCATTGCCCACCCACTTTTGACTGCCTTCTCCCACACAACTGAACCCCCATGTGCCCAGCCCCCTCCCAGAAATTGATTTGGCCCTCAGCAAACAGTCATGCTGCATATATTCGAAGCACATTTTCCCCCTCCAAAAATTCTGGTTGCTGTAGTCTACTCTACCCCTCATAGAGTTACAATTCCCAGCCACACTCAACAAACTACATTGCCCAGAATTCCTAGAGGAGGGAAATGTGCTTTAAAGATATAGCATGTACACAGCGAGAGATAGAGGTATTAGTAACCACACCTTAATTTACAGAGAAATAGGCTTTTTCTCCACAGACTACCTTCTAGGTTTCTGTTACTACGGGGCAAATAAAAATGTTCCACTAACGCTAAAGAAGTATCCTGAGTTTGGCAAGTAGTGAAGTGCCAAGGGGTGCTGTTTTCAGAAGGACAGTTGTGAAATAATATGGTTCACAGCCTTTATCATGTTCTTCCCCATAAAAATACAGTTAAGGTAGGCTTCTAGATGGAAGGAAAACTGAGGCTGAAAGTTAATCCTCATAGAAGTACAGAGCCAGCCCTACCATTGGGCATCTTCCAAAGTTTCTAAGTGGGTAGGTTGGCAGCCAGGTGCGGAAATTGCCCATAAAGTAAGGAGAGCTCACCTGAGTTCAGATCCTGTTCTGCGCACCTTGATTCCTGAGAGCATGATGCTCATGCTGATTAGAGCAGACATGTGGTGGGAGCCAGGCTTTCCAAGGGCTCCCCACAACCTTCGGAGCAGTCTTTATCCCGATCTACAAGCCCATCCACTTGAGCTAGCCACCATGAATAGCAGCCAGCTCATATCCACACTGTACATTTAAAGCACTTTTAAAGCATATGGCTTCCACCCAAAAAGGAATCATGGGAATTGGAGTTCACCCCTCATAGAGACGCAATACCCAGCACCTTTAGCAAACCACAGTTGCCAGGATTCTTTGGGGGAAGCCATGTTCTTTAAATCTACTTTAAACAGTGAGAAGATTATGGCTGTGGGGTTCCTGCTGGGGGTGGGCTTAGGCAGATGCCTGAATTTCCCATCTCCCAAGGCTGAAGGTCCAAGATGAATGCAGCAGAGAAAGTTAAAGTTGCAAATTGCAATCCTGTACCCCAGGTACAGGGAAGTTTTTCTTCAGCCTGAGATCCACATTCCCTCGTGAGCATCTTTCTTGGGGTCACACTGAAGTGGTGGGTGTGATCAGAGACAAAATATAGATGGAGGAAGATGGAAAAGTGGAGCAACAGATGTGACTCTTACATTAAGGTAAAAGGTAAAGGACGCCTGGACGGTTAAGTCCAGTCAAAGGCGACTATGGGGTTGCGGTGCTCATCTCGCTTTCAGGCTGAGGGAGCTGACGTTTGTCCACAGACAAACGGGTCATGTGGCTAGCATAACTAAACCGCTACTGGCGTACGGATGACCGTGACGAGTGCCAGAGCGCACGTAAACAACATTTACCTTCCTGCCGCAGCGGTACCTATTTATCTACTTGCAATGGGAGTTCACCCCCTCATGGGGATTCGAACCGCCGACCTTCCAATCAGCAAGCCCAAGAGGCTCAGTGGTTTAGACCACAGCGCCAGCCGCGTCCCTATACTCTTACATTAGGCCTCATCTGCACTATACATTTAAAGCAGTATCACTCCACTTTATACAGTCATAGGTTCCCCCAAATAATCCTGGGAACTGCAATTTGTTAAGGGTGCTGAGAGTTGTTAGGAGACTCCTATTCCCCACCCACAGCTACAATTCCCAGAATTCCCTTGGCAGAGGGATAGACTGTTAAACCGTTCTGGGAATTGTAGCTCCTGACAACTTTCATCACCCTCAACAAACTACAGTTTTTAGGATTATTTGGGAGAAGCAATGACTATTTAAAGTGGTACAATACCGCTTTAAATATATAGTGCAGGTGGGGCCTCTGTATAGAAGGCCAAATTCCAGTGACACAAAATCTAGACTATCTTCCATCCAGAGGATGATGTGTCACAATTAGATGACACATTCCAGCCAGGCACTTCAGAAGGAGACAGGACGTGTGCTGCTAAGTATATTAAAATCCTATCGATTTCTACAAGAACTAGACACTTTATTTGCCTTGGGGCACCACCTGTTAGCATAAACATTGCAGTTAACTGATAAGGAAGAATAACATATTACATAAAACTCCTTCTACAATAAAGCAAGCACTAAGTTTACATGTGCAAGCACTTGTGTTTATATACGTAGTTTTGAATTTATTCAGCTGCAACCGAATTTTAAGATTTTATAATACTGAGAAAATAAATTGGAACCTGTTTTTTAAAGTTATCTGTCCATCAGCAAGGATAACAGCTACACTATTTTATTTCATTTCACAACACTTTATTTTAATAAAAGCTCTAAGTGGTTTTATTATCCTATCCTGCTCTTTTCAAAGACCTTGGCATACTTATAGCTGTTGACACTAATGTTCACTAATCAGCCTCGCTAAAAATTCCCACCCCCATCAGAACATTATGCTGTTGTTCACTTCCTTATTGACTAAATGTCCAAAGGTGGATTATAAAAATTACACAGATCCTTTGGGAGCAAAAAGGAAGTTCAGAATTTTTCTTTAAAGCAGGAAGAGTTTTTTATTACAAATCACTTTAACAAACAAGCACTCATCAAACTCAATAGGGCCAACTTCCCCAAAACACATCTAGGATGGGAGCGTTAAAGTTAAATACATCTTTCAAAAATCTAACCAGTCACTGTGTTCTTTCTGTGCTTCCTAACTGATAGCTTCTATATCCCAAACTCCCTGATAAAACACACACACACAAAATACTACAAAATACGTACAGTACACAAACACACACAAGAGGGGGTGTCCTGGGGGGGGGGGAATGGAGGAAGGAGAAAGTATAACACCAAAAGTGTGAAGCAGGCTAGTTTCTCAGTAAGAATAATGCTTGTAAGAGTTTGCATCAGATCTCAGGTTGTACAAAAGCTAGAAACTTAATCCTTTTCTCTATTTTGTTTTAATGAAACCTGGGAATCTGGGGGTTAGGGTTTTCCAGAGAAAGCAACAGTCTCCATTTCACACCTCTGTGGACACCTATATTTTTATCCGTTTGAGTGTGTTTAAGGTCTCTAAGTCTCTTTGTATTTTGGTGCTACCACTGGTATGAAGTCAGCCCTTTACACGGAGACCCTGGCAATGAGAGAGGTGCAAAAGTAAGGAAGCTCTGCGTGGGCGTCCTGACGATTTTTTTAAAACTACAAAGTGATAGCAAACAGGTGGGAGTAGGCTAGTTTCTCAGCAAAGGGGGAAAAGAAAGAATGCTGCCTGCACATTTCTTCTCGTAACTCAGACTCTACAAATGCTAGAAAATTAAGCTTTTTAAGAACAGAAAGCGGAGTATCTGGGGAGGGAGCCCCCTCGTCCACGCCCCCTGCGGATGCCCATGAAGCCGTGGGAAGCGCCAGGAAGGGAAAGAGGTTCTCCTGTAAGACCACCCACGCGGTATAAACAAGGGGGGAGAGAAACAAGTCCTGAAACAGACAAGGAAGTAGTAAATGATGTCGTGGCTTCTTACCTCTTGGAAGCAGCCGGCTCTCCTCTCCACTCAGGGATGCAGCAGCCGGCTAGTGG